GAGAAAAACCCAAGAAAACCCTTTTTTTCCATTAAAAGGGGCCCCGGGAAAAAGTCCAAAAACCCCGGAGGCGTTTTTTTTTTTTTTTTTTTTTTTCCCCCGGTTTTTTTTTCCAAATGGCAAATTTTTTTTTTTTTTTAAAAGAAAACATTTTCCGTTTTTTTTTTGGGGGGGGTTTTTTTTTGGTTTTTTTCGGGGTTTTTGGTTTGGGCCCCCATGGGGGTTTTTTTGGGTTCCGGAAGGAAAAAATGGGAGTTGGGGAAGTAAAAGGCAATTTTTTCCCCCCCCCCCCCCCCCCCCCCGCCGCAAATCCGAAAATATTGTATGAGGCATGCCCGAGTTAGCGTGGTGACAACAATCATTGCCCTTTCAACGTGACCCCCGATTTCAGCTCGTTCCCAGCGACGACGCCCAGTTCGGCGACCACGACGAAGACTGGGCGCCCCCCCCCAACTCCCCCAACGCCTCCCCGTACATGGAAAACCACGTCGATCTCGATGGCGACGACGATGACGATGACGATGGTACGATTCCGGTTCACTTCGGCGCGAATGAGTGCAAAGGCCGTCAGAGAGAAGAAGAAGGCGACGACGACGAAGGTTTGCTGGCGCTGTTGCCGAGGAGGGTGGCACGAGATCCGATGGAGGAGGAAGACTTCGACGACGATGACGCTAGTGATGGCGACGACGAGGGACAGGCTATTGTAGAAGAGCACTGCAGTGGTGGAGATGGCGGAGGCCCGTCGGGGCCGTCGATTAAGCGAGAGTTGTCCGCGAAGGAGCAAGAGCTGGGACCGGAGACAGAGGACGAGGATCTCGCGGAAGGGGGAGGGCTTGGTAGCCGATCAACGTCTCCGTCGCTGTCGTCATCGTCTTCGTCAGAAGAAGGGCCTTCGGCGGCGGCGGCGGCGGCGGCGCGTTCCCCTTCCTCGCTCTCTCTTCGTCGGTCGCCGTTACCTCAGACGCCGCCGCCGCCGCCGTTGCCTTGTTGTCTAGTACTCGGCAACCCGGAATGGGCGCACACACACACGATAAACGAGAGATAGAACAGACTTACAATTGGAGCGTTTGATGCGATCCCTTGCTGG